GGCCCGGGGGGCCCCTGCAGGGACACGTGCTCCCACGGGTGGCGTGAGGCAGACGCTGGCCTGCCCGCGCGTGTCTCCGGGCGGAGGAAGCTCAGAGCGCGGAAGAAAGGGGAGCGGGAGGGTGTCAGCACAGGGCCAGGGCTCCTGCCGGGTCTGCGCTGTTCCCGCAGGGGTTCGAGGGGCGGTTCAACACGTAGACTCGTCTTCAGAACGGCTGGACTTGGGGACAGCTCTCATGCGTGAGGCCTTCACGCCTGCAGTGCTGAGTTAATGTTCAACCTCGTCTGGGTGCGTTCCTCGGACGCAGGAAGCCCTGCCAGCCCCCGGCCCCAAAGTTACTGATCTACTCGGAGGGGAAGCTGGGGCCGAGGTTAAAGGGGAAGGCAGGCTGCTGAGGAGTCCTGGTGCCCCTCAGCGGCAGACGCGAGGAAAGCTGCAGTCAACTAGAGCTCCTGGTACTGTTGTTCCGTTCTCCGGGCTAATGCAAGGGACATCCCAGACCCCTCCGAATGCAGCCAGACCTGCTGGGAAGGTAGCTAGGACCTGGGAGCGAGTGCTGCTGTAAGCTCTGCAGACCAACTCAAAGACCACCTTCCAGAAGGAAAATAAACCCTAAGGGCAGTGAGGAAGGCACAGCTGCAGAGACATCCCCCGTGTGACCGAATAGCCTGGACCTAGAGGGACGGTAACGCCGCAAGGTTGGGCAGTGCCTCACACAACGTTCAAAAAACTGACTTAGCCCCCTCCACAGCTGGTGCTCTGGGCAGAGGGTGCGAAGGGAGCCAGCAGAGAGCCAGGATGCCTCCCCCTCCCCCCGCCTGGGCACAGGGCCGGGGGCTGGAGCCCCGCACGGCAGCCCCCGGCTCGCTCCGGTCCAGGGCACGGGAGAGTGCTCCCTCGCCCGCCTGACAAACCCAGGAGCGGCCCTGACTTCACTGGTCCTGCAGCGAGACCCTGAAACGGTCCTTCTCAGGGGCTGAAGCCTCCCCTGAAGCAAGCACTGAAAAGCCATCAGTAATCCCCTCTCATACAGCATCTTTTTATTCCAAGGCTTGAAGCAGGGCAAAGCATAACGAGCAGAACAGCTGCTGGCTAAGATAATGGACTTCTTCTGAGTCCCTTCGATTTTCTAATAACTTTTATTTAAATACAATGAATTAATACTGATGGTTGGCTTTGACACTAAATGAGTCAGCTATGCCCTACAGCCTAGGACTTTACACCAAAAGTTAGAGCAGCTATAAAACCAAAATTTGTTTCCAGCAACCTAAATGCCGAGTTAGTGAGATGCAAGCAAGGAACAGGACCTGAGCAGCAGGCCACGACTGGAGCCCACTGCACGAAGGCTTTCCAGTAACTGCTGCAGCTTAGCCCTGTGCCACTGAGCAGAGCAGGAGCAGCAGGCTAGGAAAGATGGCACGAGATTCAGGAGGAAATCATAAATAAAAATAAAATCTACAGGACTGGTGCCACTTGCTCCAGTCTGATACTGTAGGTCAATAGGTCTCCCAGAGGACAGGAAGAGGCAGCACAGACGCTAGCCCCTTCTGAGCAAGACCAGCCTCCACGCAGCACAGAGCTGCAGGTCACACACTTCTCCCGGCCCAAGCCCGCTGCCCGCCTTTATTCAGTAGCTTTCGTCTATAGCACAGCGGTTTCAGGTACTGAGTCAAGGGCTGATCGTGCATAGCTGAGTGCACAGAATTGTGCCAGCAAAGGAGATCCCACTTTTAATGAAATGGAGTCAGAGCTACAGGACACTGCTTAGCATCGTAATTAACCAGTTGCCATGCTCAACTCACCAGCACCACAGTGCAGATGCATAAATACAGGTTTGTCTCCCACAACATTGAGCTTGCTCACCCACCTTCCCCACCCCACGCGGTTAGCAGGGAGAGACAGGCAAAAACTGCTACAGCTAGCTCCAGGTTTATCACAACTGAGCCTCTGCTCGTCTCTGCCTCACTGCTTAGCAACACAGGACACTGAAGAGAACAGTTCGTAGTGAGAGCTGGCAGCCCTTAGAGCTGGCAGCACATACAAACCATTCATCCGCAGCAGGACACAGGTAACTGTTACAGATCTTTCCATCTCCACTTCCCGAGGTGTAAAACTTTGCAGTTTATAAAGAGAACAGTCTGTTCTTGATCTAGAGGAGAAGAGGGCTGGAAGCCCTGCTCCTTGGTTGCCTGGGAAGAAGGGTTTCTTTCTTCCAAGAAAGTTTGTACCAGACTTTCCCACTTGGCTTGTCCATGAAAATCGCAGAAGCGTTGACACCAAGCAGGCTTTGGCCATTCCTTTACCCCCACCTCCAAGACGGCCCTTTCACAGGCCCTCAGCTCCACTTACTGCCCCGCGACTGAACCAGCTCGGTGCAGTGTTGAAGATGCAGCATGGCAAGGCCACTGCAAACTGGTTTGCTCCATGCTGCTGCCAGCCGAGGGTAGAATTCCACCCAACAGCAGCTTGGAAAAAATTAGTCAGACCAGCATCTTCAAATTAACAAACTGTAATTTTTCTCCAAAGATACATTTTCCATACACATCCATCATACACTGTAACAAAAAAAAGCAGTGTACATGAAATAAGAAAATAAATTAAATCCGTAGCATAGGTAAGGAGGATGCTCTAGACTGGAGTAGAGTTGAAAGTTTCCAGCGATACAAGAGGCTCAAAAGTTTGTTTTAATAAGAATGCCTGCTAGCAAGGGTCCAGCAAGTGTTTTAGGTCAGTCCAACTGCTTAAACAGTTTTCTTTAGAGTTTATAACAGCCATTATTGTCCTGCAACAGGCAGAGCTATTACATCCTGGGAGAAAGCCAAAGAGGCATCTTAAGATCCAAGTACAGCATTCAGAAGATAATCAAGTTGGTCCTGCAGTATCCAAGTATCAGCGCTAGCCATCTTCCTTGGGCGGTGTGTACCAGCCTGAAACAAGAACGGAGATCCGTGAGAGACAAAGCTGTACGTGAGCACGAGCGCTGCGCCTGAAAACACACAGCTAGAAAAGCTGCAGAAATAGTATCTCCAGTTATACCAGAGGGACCCCAGCACCAACCACCAGGGTGGGAAGGGCAGAGGGATGCTGCAACCACGTTTTCTGCCTTAGAAAGCAGCTGCTGCTCCTGGCTGTCAGGGTGATCTTGCTCCAGGCAATCTCTGCACTTGGGCAGTTACAGATGGGGCAGAAAAAACTCAAGCAGCTTGTCTGGATGCTCCGTCTAGAGGAGTCCCAGACTAGCAGGGAGAAAGATCACCATCCTGCAGACGCTCCCTCTCCCTCAGGCCTTACCATTTTTCTCATGGATCTGAACCAGGGACTTGTAGGACTGCTGTGCTCTTGTCAGGCTGTACTGATTCTGCAAGAGAAGTCAGGTTGACAGTCAGTCCAGCTAGAACCTAGCATATCAAGCAAGGCGTTTCACACGCCTTCCCTACACAAACTGGGCTGTCAAAGAGCTGGTAGGTTTCTCATCTGCATCCATTCTGATAACTGCTTCCTAAGTCTGCTTACGTGGTACAAAAACACAGTTCCCAGACGCCTGCCCTTCCCTTCCCAAGAACTCCTCGGACTACAGCACAGTCATAAAAACCGGCCTTTGTGTTAGGCGCTCGTGACCCCAGACACCCAAGAGCTTTGCTTTGTCTTAGATCCACAAAGCAGCTTGTGCCTGCCCTGAGGGATAAGACCCTGCCTTGGCTGCCCCAGACCACGTCCTACCTTATTGGCTCCAAATTGCACTCTCGCTTTCCCTTTCACCAGAGTGGCGCTGATCTGCATTATCACCGACTCGATGGAGTACGCGCTGCTCCAGCCCTGCAGGACAGAGATCAACACAGTGAGGCCAGAGTGGACCGCTACCCCTGGGTTGTGTTTGTCAGCAGCAGAGAAAGGGCCGTTCCAAGCACTGCGCAGGCATCACAAAGCCATGCCAGGTTACAGCTGCCAGGAGGAGATACAAATAGCAGTAGGGGCAGGGTTCTGCTGCCAGCAGGCCCCAAACAGTGGGAATATGAAGCATGACAGACAGCAGCTGCTACCCAGACCATGCTGGCAGCCTTGGAGTCCTAGGCCCTCCCAGGGCAGCTCCCAGTACCCACCTGCTTTGTAAGTAGCTCCATGCAGATGGCACCGCCACCCAGAACATACCTTGGGGAAGGGAACAGGCAAAGTCATGTTAGAGAGAGACACAGGCTCACCCACCCCCTGCTCCACAGGGGAGCAATTTCCTCGTGGCCCCAGAGCAGGTCTCAGATAAAACAAAAAACCCCACCAACCCCTGCCTATACTGCCCGAGAGCGCCCAACTAAGCAGGTTTCCGCAACTTTCATTCTTCCATCCTTCCACAATCACACCTCTGTGACAGGGCTACGCTTTGGATCCCTATTCCCTTCCCACAAGCACCACTGCCTGCAGCAATCAGAGCAGGTACTACTGCAAGGGAGATGGGTCACTGCCACCACTGGCATAGGCCAGTCACTTCACCGGCTATTGCAGACCCATATTACCAAGATTACAGGACTATGCAGCACTCCTCAGTGGATAAACCTGAGGAACTGCCACTTCTTTATAGCACATATACTATGCCATACTGAAACTGCTTCGAGAGGCAGCGCAGGAGACCTTGATGAGCAGAGACAAGCAAGCAGTTACTTACCCCCCTGAGAGCACAGGGGACACGACCCTTACAAACGGTGGGTCAAAAGGAAAGTTATCCTGGAAGGAGAGAAGGGAAACAAAGATGTTGAGAAATGTCTTCTCTTAGGACTCACTGAGGCAGGCAAGTCTCGAGGGCGGGGAGGTATAGAAAGCCTTACTTTAAAGGAGAAGTTTAGGAGGATGAAATCTGTTCCTTCTTTCTCTTTGAGGATCTGGAGATCATTGTGCAAAGCGCTATCCTCGTCAACCCTGTCAAAGGAAACCCCCAGAGGGTCAGAGACAAGGTCGTGCACATAAAGTCAGTCACACGCTGCCAATGAGCCCCAGAGCTACTTACTGTACCTGCACAACCTGGCTGGCACGTGGGCCCTCAGGTTCACACCCAGAGGGTAGTGGCAGCATGTGCTGCCAGCATTCTGCTCCTGGTTTGCAGAGAAGACCATCACACCCTTTGCATGCTGCCAGCTTAAAAATAAAGACTGCCTGGCCCAAGGAAGAGACAGTATTGGTGTCTGGAGGGTGTGAAAGCTCAGGATTTTGTCTGATGCGCCTCTTCCAGGTCTCTAGGAACAGCAGACAGACTTGCAGAGCCCTAAGAGTATCTCACTTCTCTGGAAATATCATCTCCTTTCTGACGTGGAGACAGCAAGCAGGCTGTCCATGAGACTAAAAGAGGCTAAACTAAGCTCTGCCAGATGCTCCCCTGCCCTGGTCACTTCTCCCCTTGCTCACGGGGATGTTTTGGTCCCACCACCAAGATCCACAACAGCTGCATGTTCCCAAGATAATGCCACCTACTTCAGGAGTTTGACGTTCCAATCGTACAGGCTGTCGTTCACTAGTTCAACTGCATAGTATCCTGCAAAGCGGAGAAGACGTGCGTTAGCACCGGAGAGACTGAACAGGCATCCAAACAGGGGTCTGTGCTGTCACCACCCCTCATCCCTGCAGCACAAACTGGCACAAGCCCACCCCAAAAAAGGAGGACTTATCTAGAAGGGCCGTCCTGATGGTAGCAATTTTGATTGCTCCTCGAGTCCTAGTGCTCAGGAAAGGAGTAGGAGCAACATCACCAACTAAGGCCAATACATACAGCAGAACGGCACGTGCCAACAGACAAAGGCATTAGAAAAGTAGCTTTTGTCTCAGAAATCCTCTCGCTCACCGCATGCTCATTGCTTCCACCCAGCACTAACAGGGAATGGAGATGGGCGGACAGTTTTGCTCACCCTTGACCGAGCCACGAGGCCCGAGATCCCCTTCCTCACAACAGAGCTAAGCAGAGCAGAACAAATCAGCTCTGAGGCCCGTTAGGTACCACCCGGAATGACTAGGGAAATCCCTGCATGAAGAGTGGGTCAGCAGCCCCCTCCCTCAAGCTTCTTGAGGAACTTACCGCCCTTGAAACTTGGTGATCGGTAAATATCCCTGAGCTCCTTCATTAGCCGGTCAGTGGCCTGCACAGACCCAGACACTGCACCCTAAGAGGAATTTGGGAGGAGGGGGAATTGCATTGTTACACTGCACATGCTGTGGCCATTGCTAAGCGAGGCTATAGCCTGAGCTAGAAGTCCTGCTCCGGAATACCTGGCCCCTAGACCAGACCTTACTGTGTCCCCCACTTCTCCCCGTTTTCCCCTTTCACCCTAGAGCAAGTTCCCTTGTCCCAGGCAGTGCAGCTGCAGCAGAGATACCTCCATGCCCTCTGAACTAAGAGACTGCCTAAGAGTCTCAGAGCAGAAGTTTAAGCACAACCCACCAGGCGTCTCCATGGCCCAAGGCAAAGCCCAGCTCCTGAGAGCAGAGGAGAAGATAGCACCGATATCTCAGGGGCACCAGGCTCACCCGAACCCAGCACTTACTCCCATGAGCCGCAGGGGCAGTTAACTGCCTTCTCTGCATAAGCCACACCAGCCCCTGACGGCCTTTGCTGTACCTTTGGCTGGAGACTGTCCCTTTGATATAGGGCTAGCAGGTGTCTCCATCACTCCCTTGGGTCCCTCTGCTTCCCCAACCCTCTGGCCCTCCAGGTGACACGTACATTTAAGTAATCTTGCCTCTGGTTCTTTTTTATTTTCTCTAAAATAGCAAGGTTTTCCTTCCCAATGCCTTCATCCTCTGTCTTTTTTCCGTCTGCTGGCTCTTCCTCTTTCATCTCATAGTGGTCCAAGTCCTCAGTGTCCTGAGGAGGGGAGAAGAGAGCTAGCACGACATCCACTCTCAGTATGAGATCCGCCTGCTAGTAGGAGATCCTCCCTGCTCTGAGTTAACTGTGGAGACCAAGCTGCCTCTCAATCAAGAAGCATTCCTAGTGCTAACCTCCCTCCCAAAGCAATCCCAAGCCTCGCTAGTAGGCACAAACATTGGGATGGAAGAGAAGACACAGGACCTCAGTACGAGGAGGTTGTCTGGGCATGTTCGAGAGATTCTGTCCCACAAACAAGAATTTTCAGGCACTGGGCCCCTGCAGCCCTCCTGTGCCAAAGCCAGCAGGCCAAGAGGCACATTTCCCTTTCCAGATTTAAGTTGGGCTCATATAAGCTCTTTGTTCACTGGATCCCTCGCTGCCAAGTCTCACGCCTGTTTACAATTAGCCATTAATCTTACATACACTCCTCAACGAGCCTCATGTAACTGCAGGGCATCACATCTCAGCATACCCACGGCTTAAGCAGCCCTGTGCTTCATTTTTGGTGGGCTGGAACAAAGCACAGATACTCGAGGCAGCGCTGCTGAGCTGTATTATTCCCCCTTTGTGAACAAATACTCAACAAGAGCACAGGTCACCAGCACAGGAAGAAGAGATGCTTTCACACACAAAGTTCAGCGGCTCAGGACGTTTCCCCCGATACAGAAGTCACATTTCACTACGTGTCTGGAGGCTCTTTTCAGATCAGCTCAGCTCTCCATCCACACAGCAAGCTGCCTAAGTTCTCCCTAACACGGTCAGAGGCTCAGCCCCTCGTCCCTTTCCACAATAACATCCATCGAGCTGGCGTGCGGCAAGACCACTCATGTTAATAATCAGCAAAAAACAGTCACAGCAACACAGTGGCCACTGCAGACATCTTTTCTGCTGCACAGTGGCTATTGCCACTATGGAAGGCTGCATGTCAACATACAGGACTGAGCTACCTGGAAACTGCCTGCAAATGGCTACGGACATGCACAGCTGCAACGCTGGTATTAAATCCTCCGAGCAAGTGTGTACTTTAACCTCCCCGGGCTAGCCGTTGCTATTCTGGATGAGCAGCATTTTGGGAAGGGCTTTGACATTTTTAGACCTTCACACAGGAAAATAGATCCTCCTAGAAAATCCCTCGAGTGGATTAACCTGCATAACGTATCTCTGCACCAGGGCAGAGTTCAGATGCTCTGCTTTTCAGACACAGCCCAACAAATCCAGCTGCACAAAAAAGAAACCTTTGCTTTAAACGATTCCATCAGCTGTACAATAATGCAAGACATCAGCAGAAGGCATGAGGGGGAATACTGCTCCCTCATACGCAGCTTATCACTAGAAGCCACTCAGTTCCCAAGGATCTGTTTTCCAGCCCACGGGAATGTGAGGACTTGCACATCAGAAATTTGCCACAAAGCAGCAAGTTTGTAGATACGCAAGGTTATGTACGGTATCAGTTTAAGCCCACACGTTTTCTCTGAGGACCCTTGCAAAGATTGGCCTTGATTTAACAAGCTATTAACTTTGCAAAAAACCCCCAAAACTGCGGTGTGTGCTAAGTGACCTGCCCCTAGGTTCTGCGGGGCTTCTAACTAGGTGCATATGCCTCACACACCCAAGGAGAAGTGCATCACAAAATATCACCATGGAGATTCAAGATTATTCCACCCACTTCTAGAGATCTCTAAACCACAAACCAAACAACCGAAGCCTGTGGGTTTTACAGCATGATATTCTCAGCCTACGGTGAAGTATAGCTGCCTCTACCTCTCCTGCCAATTATCTTGCTTGCACACTGAGCAATCCTACCTAATCCTCTCTGCAGGAGTCAAATTTTCACGGTGTGATTTCCCTGCCAGCAGTGGCAACTCAGCTCTGCAAGCCCAGGAAATCAAATGGCTCACGAGTAAATTTCAGACTCTAGAGAACAGCAGCCCAAACTGAGAGAGAAACCGGGCACAGGGTTCCATTCTTAGCTCATTTTACACATCTTCAGAGGCTATGGCAATGCTTTTTGCTGCTGCAGTTCTCTCCATTTTGTTAATGCATCACTCCCACCTGTGTCTGAGGCCAACGGCCTCCTGGGAGCCCAGTAGGAAAAATGCTGAAAACAATCAAGCTTTTGACCGAAACTGGCTACAACAGGATCTTCTCTATCTGGACTCCAAGAGCTACTTCCAAATATGATCTCTGTGTCTGAGCACCTTTTGTCAGACATCTCATAGCAACAGTCCCTGTGCTCAGCTGTCCGATGTACTTCCTCACACAGTGAAGAGGCACTTACCTCTGGCATCTCTTCATCTTCCTCTTCAGAGGACACTTCTTCCTGTGTGCTCTATGAGGACAAAAGGACAGAGATAAAGATTGCATGATTGGCTTCCTGTGGCAGAGCTCCTGGAGGATATGTCAGCTGAGCCACCAGGTCCTTGCAGCATGGGCCTAATAACCTCCTTTTTTTTTGTTGCAAAGCTGCAGCTAGACACACCAGTAGCAGCTCCAAGGGCTGGGCAGTGCTGTGCCTCACTGACTGCAGGGGGACCCTAGATTTTTCCCCAGCCTTCCAAGGTGCTTCTGAGGAAAGGTTAAACAGGGATTTACAGGCAGAAACAAGCTAAAAGCAGAGTTAGGTCAAAACCCTTTACAGGCAACTACACCAGAAGAGCTACTGTACCAATGAGGTCAGGGATGTAGTCAGGATAAGTCAAACGAGCAACATCTGAGATACTACTGCTCTTCTGTGCAGCGAGACAAACAGCAGGCCACCAAGCTGGCCGCAGGCAGCAGTGCTGGGTACAAGGAACCAGGCTGTCTTTATCAAGGAGATGAATCTGCCCCAAGCAGAGAAGATAAATGCCTCACGTTCAACTGGAAGAAAACCCAGCAATACTGGCCAAGGTTCAGTACCACACTAGATGCAGCAAGAGGGGCACATCACCGCACAAGCTGACAGACACATCAGGGTGAGAACAGCGCTAGTCCGTATGCTGTCTGTGCCATCTTGTGTGGTGATGTGGTTAGGAAGCTTCAGCCTTTAAAGCAAAAACCTGAGAATTCATTCTATACACTTGGGACATCTCATCCAAGGTTACTCACCTGTTCTGCCGGCAGAGGCTGGTCTAACATTTCAACATCTGGATGTTGGGGAAGGTTGTAGAGTTTGCACAGGTCTGAGATTATTCGCTTCAGGTGCTGCAAAAGCTGTCCAGAGAGTAGACAAATGTCACAGAAACCCAGGGATCCTACATATGAAGCTAAGCTTCAGCTATCCTCAGCAACCCTGTAATTTACTCTACTCCACAAACAAGTAAGGCTCCCAGTGAAGGCCCAGAAGACGCTCCTTTCTGCACAGCACTACTTCCAGCAGCAATGAGCACACAAGGGAAAATAATGCCCAGCATCAAGGAAGAGCGCGTGGAAACTCAAGACAAGCCAGAGCCGCTCATTCCAACTTTCCAAACCCCTTTACGACAGCAGAAGCATCCTCCCACCTCGGGCAGTTCAACGAACACAGCAGGGATTTTGCGTTCAAGAAACAGACAGCCTCTCTTCACCCCTCCCCTTTCCCCACACAGTGCCCCCTCACCAGCGTATTTCCTTTCTTGACTTCCACCAGCCTCTCCAGGATAGCTGCCAGGTTTGGATCATCTGACTCTACAGACCATATTGGGGGAACAGCTGGATAAGACTCCTAGAGAAAAGGAGAAGGTGGTGTTTGAGCCACTGTTAACTGCCTCAGTCCCACCTACGCAGACTGTGGGGAGCAGAGCAGGCATCCAACCAGGACAGGGAGCTGCAGCCCTGCATCTCCCACAAATAGATCCCTTCAAACTGCACACATCAGCAGAACAGCGTCCAAGCAAGTGCACTCCACCCTCTAGACTAATCCCGGATGGAGGGCAAAACAAACAATAGCTCCGACCGCACTAATCTATCTCAGCTATGTGCTGCTTCTCTCCCCCAGCCCCGGGGAACTGGATGGAATAAGGAAGGTTACAACGCTTTGACCACCCCTTCAGCTGCCTGGGCGTTCGGGGCTGGGGGACGAGAAAGCGATTAATACAGAACAGCAAGGACATTTCAGGCTGCCACACAGGCCTCTCGCGTCACTAGGTCTGGAACAGAAATGCTGGAGGAAGAGATTACATATGCATTGCCACTGACAGCCGCATCCAGCACCTATTCAGAGGCAGCATGAGAGGCCAAGCTGACGCCTTTTATTCACAGCCAAGCTGGCTGACAAGCTTTGTCAACTTTTCTTCTAAGTCACCCCTCCGGAAAATCCCAAACACATCCGTCCCATCTCACGGCTGTACACTTCTGCGTTAGGGGCTTTCCAGATACTGCTGTTCCTTGTCTCAAGCTGCAATACCAGCTTAAACCTGCCTTGTGAGATCAGATCCCATCACACGTGCTGTTAACTCCACCGAGTTGGCTGCACACACAACATGTCATCCTGGAAGGCTCTTCGGAGGTGCCAGCATTGGCAAACTGATCCAAAAACAGGATCCTGCAAAATCCAGCCCAGGACTAGTCAGAAGTCCCAGATACCCCAGAAACATCCAGTCCTTGCTGTGATACTTTGTCTCTCACACTAGGCCAGCCAAGCGTTTGGGTTTTTTTAAATGTCAACTCATTCTGAGCCACATGCAAAGATCTTGGGCAGAGAGATTGAGCACGTGTGGGTGGCTGGTGAGAGGGCATGGATGTTGTAAACATTAACTCCAGGAGCAATAACCTCCCCTGAGATACAGAGAATTATAACAAGCCTTGAAATAGGCAACCCAGTCTACCCAGGAATATCTTCCCTGGAGCTCCAGGAGAGGAAAGCACAGGCCTTAAGAATTCACCTTGGTCAGGGACTGCAGCTACTTGGCACTTTCCCTTCCAACTTCAGAAATCCTAGAAGCATTTCCACTTAAGACAGCATCCACTCCACAAGCCCATCAAGCACGTCTGCAGTCACATCCTGTTTTCAGAGCAATGACCCAACTCATGCACCACATCCGCGAGCGGGCTGCTCTGGACTGCAGCTCACCACCCCACCGCTGCTCCGCGACCTGGCGGCAGCCCCCGCGTTCAACGCGTTTCTGCGTCCGTCCTCTCTGGGGAAACAGAGAGGTGGGAGAAGACGGCGACGCCTTCGGGACGCAGCAGGGCAACACGCAGAGCGATCAGCGCTCGCTCGAGGAGATTCCCCCGCCGCGCCACGAAGCGAGGAGCGCGGCACCAGGGCCGCAGCCCAGAGACGCACCGGGCTCCAAGCGGGCACGCTGGTCCGGGCCACCCAGGGAACCCCGCGTCGCGGCGCAGGGTCCCTCGCTGGAGCTGGGGAGCCAACGGGGATTTCGGGGGCGACCTGCTCCCCGCCACAAGCGGCGGCGGGCCCCGCCCCGTC